GACATTTGGGTGGCGGTGTTGGTCCAATTATAGCATTATACGGTGGAGGCAATGGCATTAGTCCGATAGATTACAATCCCACACGTAATATCATTGGACCTTTCAGAATTTTTAATTATTTTTTATGTATGTGATAGATTCGTGTACGCTAGGATAAGGGGAGGACCACAATCATGCTCAATTATTAACCTCCTTTAAATTAGCGATGTAACCAGCAATTTCAAACCTAATCACATCTTATGTGTATGATTTTTTTAATTTTTAAGATATTCACCCTTCAAATGCTAAAAGTCAATATTAGATAGCCATCCTCTTAATAATAGTTCCAACCATAGAAATTATGGTGAAAGAGCCGAAAATAGCGTCATAAACTCAACTTCAAAATTACAAACATGGCCCTATTCTACGGTGTGAGGTAATCACGGACCATCTCGGTGACACTTTTCTTTAAAACTTCTGCCTTAATTCTAATTAATTGTGGAAGAAAAGTTCCTTACTTTTCTTTATAACATGCCTAAAATATGGTGGTACGTAAACGTATCTACAAAAATAGCACATGTATTATAAACCTTCCATACAAAGTATTAGCGTATAACCATCTCATTATTGAAATTGTGAAATAAAAGTTGAGAGTTAGGTTTTCTCTTGTGAGAGATATCATAAGTTGGATGGGATGGATTAACACAAACAAACTAGTAGTGAATGCCCCCCCAAAGGTTTACACATTAACACTCAATAATCTTTTTCTTTTATCTAGTATCAACTCACCCTAATATTTTTGCTTAATCACCAAAATGGGCCCTCTACGTGGGCCAAGGATTATAACCCTTTTTAATTTATGTTAAACTCCGAACCCAATGTTTTGTTGGCTGGGTTTCGTAGAGTCGGCCTAACATGACTTTACTGCCGTATGAAATTAGCCAACATAATCTGACGTCGTATTAAAAATACTGAATGACAATTTGTAAATCGGTTTTGTATAACTAATGGACTGGTCGAGGATAAACGTTTGGGAGGATTTGCTCCTTTGTTGCCTATGTTCGATCACAAAACGTTTTTGGTCACATGCCATAAGCTTGTCTTGTTTCGAAATTATTCGAAATTAGAAGATTAATTGAAGTATGCATAAGCTATCTCGAACACATGAGTCCTCTGTCAAAATTATACCAATAAAACTAAAATTACCTGAAAGTTATGAAGATAGTTATTAATGCATTAATCTTTTCAGAGTGTCATGATGACCACAAATTATGACATTGAGCTACCTTTGATTCAGTCATATTATAACTAATAAGTTTAGCTAACTAGAATGAAGTCGAAAAAATTAGATCAAAAAAATTTACACATCAACTAAATCACAAGTTTGTACAGAAACAGCGGCAGCACCACATAGGTGCAATGAATTGCATCAAACGCAACACTTGCACTTAAACCACCTTTGAACACTAGAAGTAGAAGGTCGAACAAACAGGCAACAGATACTTCCTCCCATTAACACCGTGCGCATTATAGCTAGCACCAGTGGTAGGATCCGCTAATACTTCCCCGGCGTAACCGGGTACGCCCCTTCACCGTACACCCCAGGCAAGCGGAAGCAGCCTCGAGCGGCGCGTCAGCTGACCCAGAAAATAGCCGTTCCCGAATGGGTTGGTCACGGTTCCAGCCAAAAGACTCGCTATATTTATAATCATGCCGTCCACGCCGAAGTCTCCGTTAGGAGCACCCAGTGGTTCTGTTTGTGGTCCGTAGATTGGTTGGTGGAATGGCCAGGCGCATTGGCCTGGACACTGACTCACTGATTTGCCAACCCAGATGAAGCCGAGTTCTTTTTCGGGTTTGAGTCATGAAAGCCACAGCTACTCATGCAAAATCCCTCAACAGCCACGTCTTTTGCAGTTAAAACTAGAGTTAACCCACCTGGGTTCGAGTTAACTTTCTGAGCGAGGTCAAACACCTGATGTTTCTTTAAGATTTTGCCTAAAGAGCAATTTTTATCAGAGAATTGGGTTGACGGGTAATACGAGTCTCCTTTTTGCCAGCATTTTTATGTAGGTTTGGATGGTAACACCATTGGGACACAGATGGAGTTCGGACTGTTGATGCTTTTGTGGGTTGAGAGAGAAGAAAGTCAACGATAACGGATTTTTGAGCTAACCCATTTGCTCTCAAATACTCACTAATAAAGGAGAATATGTTTATGTTGTGAGAGAGATTTAGCTTGAGGCAGTTTTATAGCCAAGTCAAGAAGAAAGGTCAAACAGTGCTAATCAATGCCGACTCCCGAGGGAAAGAGAAGAGTCAAATAAATACCAACGTTGAAAAATCGATGGACTTTACAGCTGAAAAAGTAATAAAAAAATAAAATGTCTGTCAATAATGGTAAATGATAAAGGCTCCGTTTCACACTCTTCCAAATATTATTCGTTTTTCAATAATTCAAACAGTAAAATTAGTTTATTCTTAAAATATTATTTTATATTATTTAATTTCTTCTAAATTTTTTAAAATTATTAATTTAACTAAATATTCCTAAATTTTATTTTAAAAATTACAAAAATACCTTAACAACCTACATTTATCAAATTCTGACCACTATTGTAGAAAGCTAACCAGAATCTGATATAATGGCACGCTATCGGTTGAATTTGATCGGTAATACATCGATCTAACCTTTTTCGATTAGATCTATGCTAGATCTGGTCAAAAAAGGTCAGATCTTTGACCGTAGCCAATCGTCAACGACGACCAAGATACGGCCATCATTGACGACCAAATGGGCCAGATCTGGCCGATCTAGCCTTTTTCGGCTAGATCCACCATGGATATTATCAGAAAATGTTATATCGGTGCACGATCAATAATATTTAGCCTGTCATATACCGATACGACGACTCCAGCCACCCTCCGAAGGTGGTGGCGGACTGTCCGTATTTAATGAGTGGGTTGGAGGTGTTTTTATTAACTTTTAATATTTTATTATAGGGTATTTAGTAAATAAACAAACATATGAGGTATTTTTGTTATTTTTCAAATCCTTCATGGTAATACCCATTCAATTTAACTTTTTTCAAGATATTATTATAAAAAGTATCAAAATAATGAACTAAACGAACACAAAAAGTTTTCAATAGTATGTCAATGATAGGAACCCACTCTAATAACTCAACAATTTGGGTTGGGTCATGGGTCTTTTATGGGCTTGGGTAGAATTCTCCTTGGAAAACCAGCTTGCCAAGGGAGGGTGCCGAAGCCTTTATAACCCACATGCCCACCCTTTTCCCTTTTAATGTGAGATCCTAACATTCCACCATGCTTCCACAACCGACGTCTACGTCGGCTTCTTTATCCCTGTTGGCCTCTTTACCTCTTGGGTGACTACATAGATCCCCTTTCCCTCGGGCCTCTATGCCCTTTCTCAGGATAGCAGCTCGGGCCCAAGGTCAGTCTGCCATGCGTGCGCTACCACATAGGCACAGGATCATGCTCTGATACCAATTGATAGGAACTCACTCCAATAACTCAACAATTTGGGTTGGGCCATGGGTCTTTTATGAGCTTGTGTAAAACTCTCATTGGAAAACTGACTTGCCAAGGAAGGGTGTCCAAGCCTTTATAACCCACATACTCACCATTTTTCCTTTTAATATAGGATCCTAATAGTCAACAATTAATATTTATAAATAAGGATTGGTAGAAAGAATTAATAAAATTAATCTCGTAAACCCTTCTCATTAAATTTCTACGAGAACGGTTTGTTAACCTATTTTAATTGTTATTATAATTAATAAAACTTTAATAATTAAGCCTCAAACAATCAACTTTCGTATATATGGATTGTCTGCTTTCACATGTTGGTCGACATTCCGTATTTGCTATAGCATCTCCACTGCTGATATTTGGCCACACCAATATTAAAGATTAAAGATATTTTTTAATACTTTAATTGTTTAAATTTATATTAAATTAATGATATTAGAGTTTGAAAGTGAAATCGTAATTTTTAACTAATATGGTACAAATTTCAATAATCTCATACAAGACTTGAATGGTTATTTCTTTTACGGATTAATCAAACATTGGTTTGTCGGAATATTTGGATAAACATTGATTTATGTGGCCAACAAAACTATTTAACTTTCAAAATGCATTGATAAAAGCTCAACAAAAATCAAATTTGATCATTTCATTTACCCTCCCAGTTAAACATATTTAATTAGAAGATTGACAAATTAGATGATGTGAAAGCTACTTCACCCCTACGACATATGAGACTTGTTGCTCTTTAAATAATTAAATATCCTTAATTGACACTATAACTACGGCACTCATCCTTTTCCAACTTGTTATATGTAGTCGGCTATCAATATTTAAATTATATATATGTTTTTGTACTGATTATATGAATTCTCCCGACTTTTGGCTCATAGTAGCACGTGAGATTAAAACGTGTCTGACATTTAGGTTACGGTGTTGGTCAAATTTAGCCAAAAGTCCAATGAAGATTACAACCCCACCGCTTAATATCTTTGGACTTTTCAAAATTTTTAATTATTTTATGTTATGTGACAGAATTTGCTTATTACAGCAGATTTGGACATGCCTAATCGTGATAAGACTTCAATCATTTTAATTAGTATATTTAAGGGATGTTTAATTAGGAGTTATCTCTTATTACTAAAATAATATCATTTTATATTACTTAGATTATCACGTTTGATTATTAAGTAATATAAAATTTCTATAATCTTTTAAAATTTATAATAATTGTATTATTAATAATAAAAAAGACAATATGAATACTATCATTTTTTTTTAAGTATTTTAAGATTATTTACTAATTTTATTTTTATTATAATTTTATTCTTAATAATTAAAATTTTTGGATGATAATAATACCCTTATTTTAAAAACAATTTACAAATATATTTATGAACTATTTTATCTTTGTATACAAAATTTTTAGAACATAAATATCTTTAAACTTGAAAAAAATTATCCAAGACTACAACAAAAATGGCCGGTGCCGGAATGACGCACAACCGACCTGATCTATGGTATAATTGAAGTATGGAGGGATGCGTTTACACTTTATATCGGCATGGATTACGATAATAAATGAAATACTAGGTCCAAACATAGAGAGATTTGAATCACAAGAAGGAAGAAATTTAAAGTTGGCAATCCATGACGCATTTAATAAGTCTAACTTCTTGGAGTCAGAAGCACTTTGTTGATAACCTCGTCCAGATTCCTGTAAGATGATCCTGCAGGAGCAGTAATGGCATGTTTAGCCATCTTCTTCCATTCAGTGGCTTTCTTTTTCATCTCTTTCCCTTTCTCTCCCTCCATCAACTCTCGAACAAGGATTTCAACTTCATCTCTTTTCACGTCGTTATCTATCTCCATGCCTATGCCCCACTCTTTGCAACTGTATCGGCAATTTGTTTGTTGTTCAGCGAAAAAGGGCCAGCAAACCATGGGAACTCCACCACCGATACTTTCAAGCGTAGAATTCCACCCGCTATGGGTTAAGAATCCACCAACTGATGGGTGGCTTAAAACTTGTTCCTGAGGACACCAATTTGCTAAAATACTCCTTTCTTTGATCTCTGTCAAAAACTCTGGTGGTAGAATTGCTGTGTCACCAGCAACAAGGTCGGGCCTAATGACCCACAAAAAGGTTTGCTTGCTGTTCGCAAGTCCCCACGCAAACTCAATTAGTTGATGGGCCGTCATGACTGCAACACTACCAAAGTTCACGTAAACAACTGAATTGGGTTCTTTTGAGTATAGCCACTCGA